CTACACTGCTACTGACCAGCAACATCTCACAGCTTCCACCACCCAGCTTCCTCAGAAATCTCCTCGCCCTGCTGTGATCTTCTGAGCAAGCTTCTCCTCACCTAGTCACTCCAAGCACTGCACTGTACAACAACATATATATACAGAAAGCGCATTGTGAGTTTCTTGAAGTCCCTTGGAGAAGGTCATGTTGAGGGGGACTAGGACGGTGGCAGCGTTGTCGATGAAGCGGTGGTAGAAGTGACTAAACACAGGAATCTCCGAGTTTCTTCAAGGTCGTTTCGGAACTCCCCAATGGCAGTTATCTTCTGTGTAGGGTTGTATGCCACTGGGCGAGACTCTGTGCCCCCGGCGATTCGCACTCACACAGGATGGAGGAGAACCGATCACTCTCCCAGTCTTCGCTAAGCAACATGGAAGACTGGCTTATCCACACAGAAGCAGTTCTCATCGGCTCTACAGCTACTGTCTCTACACCGCAGGATAGACACCCCAGAGCAGCTCTTATGACTCTAAGCAGACAGCCACCTCTTCCTGTCTCAGCACCACGTCCTACTGACCCCAACACACCCGTCCTGTACAACGAGGTCAGGTCTGGTATATGGAGGTAGGCGTGGCTTAATAGTTGACCTCCGTCATGTGTTGGGTGCGCTGTTAACCCCAGACCACGAGGCATACACTGGGGAATCTGCGGGTCGAAGGCTCAGTGACAAGCGGCGTTTGTAGGGGAGTGCAATCCACTACAAGCTAATTTTTTTACTTTCACTTTTTATCCTTCTTTCACCACTAATCGTTTGTTAGGCCGCCATGATCGGGTCACGCCCTGTTACTTTTCTTTTTATTTTATCCTTAGAACAAAAAAGAACATAAGAAAATAGGAGTCTGCAATAGGCCGGTTGATCTGCATGAGAGGCTCCTGTCGAGAGTTACTACCACTCTCATCATCCATGAATCTATCTAGCCTCCTTTTGAAACTTTCTCCAGAGTTCCCCGCACTTACTACAAAGTTGTTGCTTGTTCCACTCTGTCCACCACCCTATTTGTGAACCAGTTTTCCTATCTCCTCCTGTCCCGAACTATCCAACTTCTGGAATCCGTTGCCCGAGTCCATCCTGCCTTGGATATTATAAGAACTTTTATCTATATCCCTTTATTGATTCCCTTTTCACCCACTTAAATACTTCTCATCATATCTCCCCGCACTCTTTCGTCTTTCTAGAATGCAAGTTAAGTTTTTAACCTATCCTGATATGGATATTTTGTAAGTCCCCGAATCCGCTTGCCATCCTTCGCACCGACTCTAGTGAATTTATATCCATTCTATAATAGGGGTACCAGAATCGAACTGCATAATCGAGGTGCGGCCTAACTAGCGCAAGATATAGTTGCAATAAGCATCTTCTGCACCTCTGCTGGCTTTCACAGAATTTCCCAGATATAAACCCAATACTTGTTTGCCTTATTTCGAACATTAATGCACTGTTTTCTAGGCCGTAGGTCCGGCTATAAGTACCCCCAGGCCCTTTCACAAGTCGACTTCTAGGTTGATGTTGTTAAGCAAGGTATACATTGACAGTATTTGTTCTTCCACATAAGTACGCTGCACTTGCTGGTGTTGATTCATTTGCCATATTTTTCAGACCACCCCTCCAAATGATCAGCTCGTTAGCCGCTTGGGCGAAAAGGTCACGTCTCTGTTACGTACTGTTGGCAAGTAATGGGCATGCATCTGCTCTTGAATACCTGAACCTGCTCCAGTGTTGGTCAAGTCTGTTCTGAAGGAGCTTCACACTTCGGTGCCGTTACAACACTTTCTGCAGCTTTTGACCGCAAAACAGTGTGTGGTGATTACCGCACGAAATCATCATGTGTACCCGCCACAAGCGGGCAAATTACAGGGCAGTGCATTGGGCCCGCTGTTGCTTGTTTGTTTTATAAATGACTTGGTCAAAGCAGGGCCACCAGACTGATGCCTGCCCTTCGGCACTTCAGCTTCCCTGAGAGATTGGAGCGCCTGAACTTTTACTTTTATCCTTTTCGCCACTCATCGGCTCGTTAGCCGCTTGGGCGATAGGTCACGTCTCTGATTATTTTTCCTTTTCATTTATCCTTTTCACCAAAAGATCGGCTCGCTAGCCGCCCAGGCGATCGGTCACGTCTCTGTCACACGCACTGTTGGCAAGTACTGGGCATGCACTGCTCCTGAATGTACCTGGAACCTGCCTATGTTGGTCAAGTCTTGTCTTGAAAGAGATCACACTCGGTGCCGTCACAACACTCTTTTTGGTAGATTGTTCCAAGAGTTTACAACCTCACTCCGAAAAAAGTTTGCCTCACAGTTTTTCTGGGACTTATGTGTTTTCTTCAATCTTTGAGTTGTGACACCCTTTGTGGGGAGAGCGTCCGCCAGGCTCCAAGTAAGGACACTCGACTGAGTAGTGCACCGAGATGCTTATACACCTCAATCAACTAGGTAACCCCTGCCTGTCTGTATAAGCTAGGCAAGTTCAGGCGCTCCAATCTCTCACAGGGTAGCTGAGGTGCCGAAGAGCAGGCACCAGTCTGGTGGTCCTCCTTGAACATTTTCAACCAACTGACAGTCCCTAGCATATCTCGGGGACCAGACGAAGTGACAGTAATTCCCTGATGGGGAAGACTTAATTTTAAAGAGATCAAGAGGACGGAACGCCTCAGATATCTGGAACGACCTTCTTATAAGACCTAATAATTAATTTGCCTGGTTTATTCTTCTCGCAATTGCACGAGAACTTCAGCTCATTGGTCAACATACACACCTAGGTCCTTCTCACATTCAGTCTCAACTAGCGCAGTTTCTTCATCCTGTTGATAAACATGTGACACGCCTCCTTACCGTTGGTACGCCCCAGGTGTATCCTCTACACTTCGTAACATTGAATCTCAGCAAGCCATTTCGACTCATTCCTGGAGCCTCGAGAGTCCTTCTGCAGCTCTTCACAAACTGTTGGTTCTCAATTTCCCGAAATAACTTGGCGTCATCGGCAAACATTTGTATGGAGGAGTAAACCGTCAGGCATGTCATTTAGGAAACAAACAAACAACAAGCGGCCTAATATAATTGCCTCCTGCGGCATTCCCCACTTGTGATGGTAGGCCGATGATTGATTTTCGTGTCATTAATCACCACACTGCTTGGTCATGTAGAAAGTCTCTATCCATGCTAGGACATTTCCTCGAATTCCGTACTTTTCCAGTTTGATTTTCAGCCTTCATGGGGTACACACTGTCGAATATGGGGTCCATTTCATCAAATCCCTTTGAGCACTGTGTTAAGCAGGAGCGCCCCTGGCATAAAAAACAGTATTGGCACCTTTTTACAAGGTTGTTTCTGAATTAGATGTTCCATTGTGGCATCTCTAATAATACTCTCAAGTACTTTGTATATATTATGCTGGTCAGGCTCACCGGTCTATAGTTGTTCAGGAGAGACGATCGCTCTTCTGGAAGATAGACCCACATAAGCCACTTTCCATTCACTGGGAACCATTTGCTCCTCCAGGCATTTACAAAAACAGGATCTTCAGGAGGCTCGGGTAAGCTCGTTGCACAACTCTCTTAGCACTCGAGGATGCACCCATGTCAGGCTGGACTCCCAGGACTCATAGCTTGACAGTGTATTTCTATCACCCTCTCTTCTGTGAACACAATGTTTTGTCAGTGCTGTGTCGAACTGTCTGGATCCTCAAACGCAGGAAGGTTAGTTGCATCCCTCTAGAACACCGAGAAAATAAGCTGTCAGAATCTGTGTAACTACCATCCTCAAGCCTCAGGTCTGATAATTCTACCGCGTTTTCAATTTCGACTTTGCATAGCGGTAAAACGCCTTGGGTTTGACTTGACCTCGCTTCCAACCAGCCTCTGGAACTCCTCTTTTCAGCCCTTCTACACTCTATCTTTGCTTGGTTTCCTGGCTCTTTACACATCCTCCAGTCTTGCTCATCGTTTGACCCAACCCACGTCTTTGAATTTCGGTTTTCTTAATTCTGTCGACCGCCGCATGGTTCATGTGTAGGATCCTCAGATTCCCAGAAGCACTGGGTTTGGTCTTGGGCATATATTTATCGATCAAATGGGCTTCGTTTCACTAGTTAAGATATTTAGCCAGAGTGTCTGTGTTCTTGTACCTTAATGAGTCAGGCCAGTTGGATACCTCTCATCTCTTCCCTCTCCCATTGTACTTCTTGTACATTTGCACAGGTCAAGTGGCTTTGTAAGAGCGGACGTTTCTCTCTACTCATACTCTGTCCTTATCTTTTCTTATACTCTTGTCTTAGTTCTTTCAATTGTTCTTTTTACTTTCTTCAATGGTTACTGCATAACCTTAGTTCTTTTTGAGTAGTGTCGAGGGTTTAGGCACATGGGTATGGTAATTCTGATATCAAGTCACTTGGACGGAAATAAAGGTGAAATACTGCAGGAAATGAATACTCCTAAATACTCTCAGAACAGGTTTATTAATATGGAATCAAAGTGGGAAAATATATTATTAACATATAACTCCACAGTGTAACTCCTCGGCTCTCAACTACAAATTCCTCAGATTCTGTACTCTCCTGCACATAACCTTTCTGGTGCTACATTACATTACATAAGTTACATGACAACTCTTGGTTTTACTTAACTGCCACTCCAAGTGGGTACTTCTACTTCACCCACATCTTCTATTACATTTCATTACAGTTACCAGGCTTTACTCATAGTCCCAAGTGGACAACTTTACTTCTCACACATTACTAGGTACTTTCCATTGCATCCAGTTATAAGACAAACTGGCATATAATTCGTCAAAAGACTGTTGGTAGTGCATATGAGATGCAATCTACATGTTAATACTGAAACCAGCAAATACATGGGTCCACTACCCATCATGGGATAATTATTTCCAGCTAATTATCCAAACATATTCAACAACACTGTGGGCCATATTACTCCAAAGCCATGTCCCAGGGTATAGCTGGCACCTGTAACACCGACGATCGCTGTTGTGGTGCGGTGGAAGCCAACACATGGCGAGTCTGGTGTCTGAGACCCACGAGCGGACCTGCCGTCTCAATCATGTCGAATCCCGAATCTGCTATGATCACGCTAAACATCTACTGCTCCGGGCCTGGTGAATGTTCAAATAAGCCCACCTGGATCTGGGACAAAGTTGGAGAGGGCATCACGGAGGAAGACTTGGGAAGCATGATGACAACACAAACAAATCTTTCGTCTCACAACGTCAGACGACATTTACTTTATATTACTTACACTGGTTGAATGACAATTCCACTGTTACAGCATGAACACTGATAATTCACTACATTGACTAAATCAAACTAAATGGCTGTAGAACATTGCTACATACCTTGGAACAAAGTTGGGAGGGCTCACGGAGGAGCTCTCTCCTCTTACCCGTGGTTTATATACCCTGTGAGTTGCCAGCGTTCGCTACTCATGCAATGACAGAAATTACCAAAAACCAACTGTTACTCATTCAAAGATGACCATCAGTTGACAAGTCTGGCAATTACTAAGTTGATTTACATGAACTAATTCAAGATTGAGCTTGCCAGTAGAAAGTGGAATAACAGCGTATGACAACTGTGTTGAAGGCAGGACTTACTGGGAGGGATCATGAGTATAAACGTCGATGGAGAAAAACATGTCTCTTCTAGGGATATAACCAGCTACCCATTCGTGTTTTGCGTTCGTGGAGTTGTAATAAGAATCATCAGTGTTAAAACAGACTAGCAGTCACGTGACCATGACAGCGGGTATTTGCTCCCCTCTGTATTGGTCGGGTCTCTAACATGTTGGAACAGAAAATTATCTCTCAGTTCTACAAAAGAGTAGCAGGGTTATTCATGTCATTTGGGGTGGACTCGTTTCTCATTGTCCATATAGTTAAAGTCCCCCATGATAAGGAAGTGTCTCGGGTTGAGCATTGCTGCGTTGTCTATTAAGGTTCTTAAATTCCTTTGATTTAGTGGGCCACAGTTTGGGGATCTGTAGATACACCCGATGATAAGTAAGTCCTCCTTTAATTTAATTTTACACCCTTGGACTCTTCAAAACATCCTCTCCTGTACCCTCCTGGCTGGCTCTAAGGTCTTGTCTAGCATAAATAACCACACCCTCAAGTATCTTGAGAAAGGTTCGTAAATGAGTCATATCCACAATACTGAACTACATTCCTCTGGGTCGACTCTTCTGTTCTTGTACAACATTTCTACAACTCCTACAATATCTGGTTGGTGTATCTCAGTAGTGTTTCAAACTCTCTCTTATCAAGGAACGTGTCAGTATTATGTACATGACATTCAAGCCAATTTGTTCTCGGTAACGTCTCTGCTCTTAGTAGTAACCCCGCCCCCCCATTCTCGGCTGCAGCATTTGTTAAGTACACTGTATTTTGCAGGGTGTGGTTCGGAATGTCATTGTTTACACAGCGCTCGCCTCCTCCTGTCCCGTAGGCGGAGCTGGTGCCGCCTCCCGGGTGGGGGTTAGAGTGGGTGAGGGTGCACTGCTGCCCCCCGGCCCTGTGTCGGCAAACTTGTTTCCACTACCCTCCCCCTGAGTATAACCCATGTACACTCACCCCCGTTCTTCCTTGACTCCTCCCTCTTTTGCTTCAAGTCCTGTAGGAGCTTCTTGTGCTGTTCCCCCTGCATTACCGTGCGACCTGGATGAATGAATACATCCAGAAATGCCTCGCTCCTTGCTAAGTTTTTTGCCTGCCGAATAACCTGCCATTTCTCTTGCCCGCTCGCTTGTGTGTTCTTGAGGGGGCGAGGCTTATCCCCCTGGTTTTGTCCCAGCCTCCTCACATCCTGAGGAGTTGATGGAATCTTCAGAAGTTCTGTACAAATATTTTGTAACAGCATCTTATCGTGTGTTACCTTACTCACAGTTCCCTCCGCCTGGCTCTCTGGGACTCCAAAAACTATTACATTGTTCCTGCTCTGGAGACGTTCCTGGTGTTCCTCCTCTCCCCTAACAGTAGGTCCGTTAATTTTCATTTCTTCGACACACTTCTTCAGAGTCCCAAGCTGCTGTAGGACCTGTTCTGATCCTGCATTACTCCTCGCCCCCTCCCCTGGCCCTGCTAATATGTCAGCATAACTCCTCTTAGCAAGCACCTCCAATCTATCAGCTGCTTTCTCAGTCTTAGCAAGGTTCTCTTTCCCATCTTGCTCTAGTTTCGCAACCAGTAGGGTTCCAGTTTCATCTATTTTCGTCCCTAGAGAACTCGTTACCTTATGCTTGCAATCGCCCCATTCACCTTGACTATGCAGTCAGGGCAATACCAGCAACAGCCTTCATGATTTACGGCATTTTGCAACATCCTAAACACCGTAAGGGTCAGGCCTGTATCCTCCTTATCCGACTTCTCCCTGCAGTAATCACATATCATACTCATGGTTGTTGTTGTTGTGGGGGGGGTGGGGGGTGCAGACTGTGTATAGATCTATACCTATTTAAAAAAAAGTAAAGAGAGAGAGAGAAAATAAAGAACAGTTCTTAGCTACTCTCTGTTGCCTATAGAACTGTCTTCTGCGACTGCGTACACTGTATCTCCCTGTGAATGGTGTATTGTTGGCACAGTTTCAATCCATGAGAAAGCACACAAACAAAATGAAATTTAAAGTCTCTGTAGCCCCTATAAATTCTATAACACGACATTGTTTCAGCTGGCACGGCGCCTTTCCAGCTTGCTTGCTAGTTAGCGCTCACTTTAAGCTATTTACAGTACAACTTCCGCGGTCACTGATGACACTATGAACTATTACTGTGTACACTGTATCTCTCTGTGAGTGGTGTATTATAGACACAGTTTCAGTTCTTAAGAAAGCACACAAACAAAATAAAATTTAAAGTCTCTGTGGCACCTATGACACAAATAGGCTGGCAGTGGTGCCTAGTTTATACTACAGACTGGCAAGGGGTGACCTAATTGAGGTGTATATGCATCTCAAGGGGCACTACTCAGTCGAGTGTCCTTACTTGGAGCTTGTGGACGCTTGCCCCACAAGGGGTCACAGCTCAAGATTGAAGAAGCAGCAAGTCCAGAAAACTGTGAGGGCAAACTTTTTCGGAGTGAGAGTTGTGAACTCTTGGAACAATCTACCAGAAAGAGTTGTAACGGCACCGAGTGTGAGCTCTTTCAAGACAAGACTTGACCAACACTGGAGCAGGATCAGGTACATTCAGGAGCCGGTGCATGCCCAGTACTTGCCAACAGTGCGTAACTTTTTACTTTTACTTTTATCCTCTTCGCCACTGATCGACTTGTTAGCCGCTTGGGCGATCGGTCACGTCTCTTTTCATTTATATTCTTCACCAAAAGATCGGCTCGCTAGCCGCCCGGGCGATCGGTCACGTCTCTCACGCACTGTTGGCAAATACTGGGCATGCACCGGCTCCTGAATGTACCTGAACCCGCTCCAGTGTTGGTCAAGTCTTGTCTTGAAAGAGCTCACACTCGGTGCCGTCACAACACTCTTTGGTAGATTGTTCCAAGAGTTTACAACCCTCACTCCGAAAAAGTTTGCCCTCATAGTTTTCTGGACTTGCGGCTTCTTCAATCTTGAGCTGTGACCCCTTAGGGGAGAGCGTCCGCCAGCTCCAAGTAAGGACACTCGACTGAGTAGTGCACCCTGAGATGCTTATACACCTCAACTAGGTAACCCCTTGCCTGTCTGTAGTATAAGCTAGGCAAGTTCAGGCGCTCCAATCTCTCAGGGTAGCTGAGGTGCGGAAGAGCAGGCACCAGTCTGGTGGTCCTCCTTTGAACATTTTCAACCAACTGACAGTCCCTAGCATATCTCGGGGACCAGACGAAGTGACAGTCCACCAGATGGGGAAGCACTTCACTCTTGAAGATCGTTACGAGGGACGGACCGTCTAGATATCTGAACGACCTTCTTATAAGACCTAATAATTAATTTGCCTGGTTTACCTTCTTCTCGCAATTGCACGAGAACTTCAGCTCATTGTCAACATACACACCTAGGTCCTTCTCACATTCAGTCTCAACTAGTGCAGTTTCTTCATCCCGTTGGGACATGTGATACGCCTCCTTACCGTTGGTACGCCCCAGGTGCATCCTCTTACACTTCGTGACATTGAATCTCAGCAGTCATTTCTTCGACCATTCCTGGAGCCCTGAGAAGTCCTTCTGCAGCTCTTCACAGTCCGCTTGGTTCTCAATTTCCCGAAATAACTTGGCGTCATCGGCAAACATTTGTATGGAGGAGTATACAACGTCAGGCATGTCATTTAGGAAACAAAAAAACAACAGCGGTCCCAATACACTGCCCTGCGGTACCCCACTTGTGACAGGTACGGATGACGATTTCGTGTCATTAATCACCACACACTGCTTGCGGTCATGTAGAAAGTCTTCTATTCATGCTAGGACATTTCCTCGAATTCCGTACTTTTCCAGTTTGATTTTCAGCCTTTCATGGGGTACACTGTCGAAAGCCTTGGCAAAATCTAGGTAAATATTGTCGATATTACCACCCCGTTCCAGAATATGGGTCCAAATATCAAATCCCTTGAGCAATTGTGTTAAGCAGGAGCGCCCCGGCATAAAACAGTATTGGCAATCTTTTACAAGGTTGTTTCGAATTAGATGTTCCATTGTGGCATCTCTAATAATACTCTCAAGTACTTTACATATTATGCTGGTCAGGCTCACCGGTCTATAGTTGTTCGTGGAGAGACGATCGCCCTTCTTGAAGATAGGACTCACATAAGCCACTTTCCATTCACTGGGAACCATTTGCTCCTCCAGGCATTTACAAAACAGGATCTTCAGAGGCTCGGTAAGCTCGTTGCACAACTCTCTTAGCACTCGAGGATGCACCATGTCAGGGCCGGGACTCTTATGGACCTTTAGCTTGGACAGTGTATTTCTAATACCCTCTTCTGTGAACACAATGTTTTGTCAGTGCTGTGTCGAACCGTCTGATCCTCAAACGCAGGAAGGTTAGTTGCATCCTCTCTTGTGAACACCGAGGAAAATAAGCTGTTCAATGCCTCAGCTTTATCCTGGTCAGAATCTGTGTAA